ATATCTGGATTCATATTTGTCATTAAGCAAAATTGCTTTTTAGTACCATATCTTCTGTGGATGAAAATAGGAAGACTGTCTTCAGATTTCCACTGATCACTACAGCCTTACCTCTGAGAAGAAAATTGTGCTATCACATTATCCCTTTTGATCTATCAGATTATACTAACCCATCTTTCAGCAACCACTGTGCCTTATCGAGGCAGTTCTTCATTCCTGTATCATCTCTGCACTTAATAGGTTTTTTTTCCCCCATTTCCTTTTTATCAGGATCTAGTTGCCTGGATCAATACTGGCTTTCTGCATATTCCACATGCTGAGGACATACCTAATACTGTAACCGTTGGGAATCTGGTTGGTTTCTTCTTGAGACCATACAATTATTTTGATGATGACCCTTCCATGTATTCTCCAGACAGCATCTTCTTCACCAGCCTGCAGAACCCCGCTTCCTGTGAGGTCAACCAACTTGCATGTCTGCCTAAAGTAGCTACATGTTTACCTCATTTCCCTCCTTTCTCTTATGAGGGTTTTCAAAACATGACAACTTTCTAAATTCTTCTACTTTTTGACAGGTAGATTGGGTGCAGGAAAGGTGGATTGGAAACTACTGAGTCATATATAACACAGGCAGGTTCTAATCCTGAAGGGTATCTTACAGTATCCTTGAAACCTGAATCTTATACTGTACTTGCAATGTTGTATGCCTTTGTGATTTTTCTGTATATAATTTTGTAAAAAATACCTGTGAACTGTTAAAAAAAGTATATACAACTTTCAGAAGCTTTGAGAACCAGACCAGAACCGTCAGACATAAGGAAAAAATAGCTTTAAGTCAAATCAGACTTCTGGCAACTGCTTCCCTGCAGTTTTCTTAACATGTTGATGAAAATGATTTCCCATTGCCACTTCCTGGAATGTCCTCTTCTTCTTCCCAGTCTACAATCCTACAATCCAGGAATCCCCAGACTGTTTCCCCTTACATTATTAATCAGGGCCAACCTTGTTTAGCTTCAGAGATCAACCAGGTACTGATTTTGTCAGAATTAATATATTGTCACAACTAATATATAACTCAAATATAAGCATGCCATATGAAGATTCTTGGTTGTTCTCTCTGGGTGTGCTCATGAAGCGAAAACTGAAGTTTAACATTGAAAGAGAAGAGTCACAGCATTTTTTTCACCATGGGGTAAACCTGGTTCCTTCCTTGCTTTACCTTTTCTGTGACTGATGTTCCTTCTGTCAGGCTGAATTCTGGACCAGGCTCTGTGCATGTTCTTCCACATAGGTGCAGAAATTCTTCTCATGGTATATCTGTATAAAGTTCACTTTATAGAGAGTTTACTTGCTGCATTGTAAGCTTCCTACTATGCAGAGACCCTAATTTTTAAGCCCAGAGATGTGAAGCTGGCATAGAAATCAAGTGTCTTAAAAGAATAAGAGCAAACTGAATCTTTATATTGGGGCATTCCCAGCCCTGTTTATATGAAGGAAGAACTGTGAACAAGGGCATAGTGCAGCGAACACAACTTTGTCCAACTGAACATTCACCCATTATAGTTCAGCAAAACAACATGGTAATTAAATGGTAAAATACATGTTTAAAGGTACAGCAAAAGCCAGTATAATATGGTATAATGACTGAAGTGGTCAGTAACTCTGGAGGAATATAATTAAATCTGTCTCTAGGAAAAGCATATTTAAATTTGAACAATTCCATTAATTGGCATACTCTTTATTGACCTCATAGGATAAAGCACAAATAAAATGGACAGAGGTGCTATAAAATGCTGAGTAAGAATATTTAGTACTGGTACCCCCAGTCTGAAAATCAAGGATGGATTTTGCCTGGCAATAATTTGATGGCACATAATCAATCAAACAAAAATAAATACTGAAATGCTTAGTAAGTGGTATTTTCAGGTAAAAGCTGTAGCATGAGAGCTGACAAAATTATATTCTTTAAGTTGTTGAAACAGACCAGAACAGAAACTAAAATGTATGTTTTTTAGCTTGTACTGAAAGGCTATGGAACAGGCTCTATATTCAGCAGAGGAAAACCAGTGATTAAACGTAGCACTCAATGTTTAGTCGTTGGTTTTCCTCCACTGAATATAAGGCCTGTCATCTTTGTGTAAGGAACAGCCATAAAACAAACACAGAGTAGAAGATACCTGTTTAGGCAATCCAAGAACAAATGATAACACAATAGAAGGAACCTGTCCTACAGCAGAGCCAAAACCTAAGGTCCACATGGATTCACAGAACAACAGAGATAGAACTTTGACTTTGAACTCCATTAGAGCAGAAGGGACAAATTGCCCACTCTCACTGAAAAGTTGAGAAATGGCAGAGAATTAGGTTCTCTGGACATGCCCAGAAAGGGAAGGCTTAAAAATAATTCCTGAGTATTTAAATTCTTGAGTTTGTTTTATGGGCTGATCCTTACGCAAAGATGACTTAGCTATGCTAATACTGGAGTGGGAAAATCCTTGGAACACCAATCTAGAAATACAGGTAATGGATGTAATAAGTAGTTTAAAAATACCTTTATTAAGGATAGGATTGTTTTGTCAGCTGCATATAATTAGAGTCTAGTGCTGCCAGTTTTGCTGGATGGTAATTGGACAAAGTACAACTGTCAGATAAATCATTCTGATGCAAATTAATTTTTGGAAAATTGAAGTGATGTTAATTAAAACATCACCTTAGTCACATCTCACTTGGATAAGTCTTTTATTTATGGAAGAAAATTTTAATGTAAACCAAAGTATTTTCCTTGGAATGGAATCAAAGCAACCTTCAGCTCTAAAAAGCATCATATATGCTTTTACCAGCAACGACTGTATGTCTTTCTACCAAGTGATTTGGGATGAGAAATAATCAGCTGGTGATTGCTTCTCTAAAACTAGCCTGCTCTGTGCCAAACACATTCTTGACCTCCAACCTTTTATTGAGATCATTGACATATCATTTGCCCACTACAAACAGCAAATTAATTGACTATAATTATAAGAATCCATTCTATCTCATTTTAATGGTAGTCTGAGTCCTGGCGAAGGGCAATTAGCAATTATTAATTTTGGAAAATAGAGTTGCCAGGATGGGAGTTTGCCCAGTGACAATAGCTTTAAAAATGCAGGCAAATTTAAAATCAGTTCATTGTGCCTTCCCAAAATTCATCTGGGATGTCAATGATGTTATTTCTTATGGCACAATAGGAGACTGATCTAGAAGCCCCAAGGCATTTAGTAAAGATAAAACGAAATGTTTAATGGGTGACTCTAGCATTTTCAAATAGCAAAGAGAAAGGAGATTCTTGTCCTTTTGAGGGGATTTTATACAGAGCAGAACCAGAAAAACCACCCAGATTCCAAATAACATGTTATGCCAAAAAAAAATAATTTTTTTTTAATTTAAGAATTCTACAGGATCACTGAATAGTAGTATTTTAATAAGGGATACTTTCCAAGGTATTAATAGTCCACTTTATGTAATTTGTTCATTTTACCCCTTTATAACACAGACTGCCCCATTAACATTGGGGAAGCTCCTGGAACAGCATCATTGCGTCCAAAATTCCTCTTGGGGAGAAATCCCTCTTCAGTGTAGTTTAATGGAACTAGAAATCAACAGTGTCAGAAATTGGAGTTTGATGTAGATATGGTGGCATTACATTTCTTTAAGTATTTCCTGGGGATTTAAGCAATGACATTGATGCTACCGAGAGAATAGTATCTCTCTCCTTATTGACTTCCTTCTTTATCAGTTTGCTCAGAAGGAAACAAAGGAAACTTTTTTGATTAGGGTAAAACACTGAAGAATCCTCTTCCAGAAACACCCTAAATTCAGCTGGTGGTATCTAAGGCAGTGTTTCTCAATCTTGGCAATTTTAAGATGTGTGGACTTCAACTCCCAGAATTCCCCAGCCAGCCAAGCTGGCTAGGGAATTCTGGGAGTTG